CGGAAATAGCCGGCCCCTGCCGTGCCAGAAGATGGGCTCGGGGAGTCGGCCCACCACGCTCCACGCTCGTGTCTCAGGGTCGTAGGCTTCCAGGACGTCCGAGAGTTCAAATGTGTTATCATAGCCACCGGAGACGTAGAGCTTCCCGCCGAGCACGGCCACGCTTCCCCCAACGTGAACCTACAGTTTAAAAATAAATACACACAGCAATCAGACAGGAGGGTTTTGCCCAATTAGGCAGATGATAAAGGTGTCGAGCACTGTCCTGCAACCGCTCGCTTGGACGGGGCTCAGCCCCCACCAGTTGCCGACTCTGGCTCTGAACCAGCGCTGCCCAAACACCAGGAGGAGGGGGAGTTTTCTGTCCTTGCCCAGCCCTTGTGTGCCGGGCTGAACACCCAGCTGTGCAACCGCAGCCCGGGATTTTTAATGTCAGATGACTGCGATATGCTTAAATGCACTCCATGTGCACAGGGTTATAATCTAAAGGGCACCTTGTTTCCCAAAGGTAAACTAAGCCAATTTTTAACACTGAAAGGCATCAGTAGGTCAGTAAGCGTCCTACCTGAAGCATGGCAGGGATTTTATCCCATTCATTCTTCGCTGGGTTGTAAACATCCACTTCAGCCGAGTCATCCCTGTGGGAGGTAACAGAATTACTCATCTGCGTTCTAAAAACCTTCTGCCTTGTGAAGCCCCCAGTTCAACAGCCTGAAACGCTGCCATGGGCACTTTGCTCCAACCCTGTTACAGATATTGGAGACCAAAGGGTTCCTGTACGAAGGCGCAGGTCTTGATGCAGACCCCAGCCTCCAGCATGGGCTTCTCCTGTGCCAGCAGTGACGTTCCACCCCAGAAAATGCCTGGAGCTCTCTGCTGCACCCCTACGCACGAAGCAGGCTGGCACAGATATCGTGCACCTACCACATATTAGCGCAGGCGTGCGCCTTTCATTCTTGGTGCCACTGACTGTCATCCAAAGAGCCCGAATGCCCCCTCTGAGCTTCTCTACGGGCAAAGCAACGCGCTCTGTGCTTTCTGAGTTTCAGGATGCTGCCTAGGAGGGAGGGCGGACAAGACGGCCGGGGCCAGAGCAAGCTGACAGCACGTGCTGTTTTCCACCTCCCTACGTTGGTCGCTCCACCCGAGATGGCGGGGCGAGCTGCTCGGGCTGAGCGCCCCACTCGGAGCCCCATGCGCAACCACACCCCTGCTGCGCGATCCCCAGGGCTTTCTCGGATCTCGTCTTTTTTTTAATGTCTGGACCTACGGTAGGCGTGCTCACAGACTTCCTGCAAGTCTACATTTCACAGACCAATCTGGCTTTGGGGCCAAGTGCTTCGGGGTCTGGAAGAAAAATCACTGCTGTTCTGGAGAGTCTTAAGCCTCCATGCACTTCAGAGTAACGTCATCCCTACGGCTCGAGTTTTCTGCCAACACCAAATTTCAATGGGCCAGAGGACTGTGAGAAGAGCTGGCGGGGGCAGCAACCCCTCCAAGGCTTCGCTCCGCTCGCGAGAAGGGAGGGCGACAGCGACAGCTGAGGGACGTTTGCGACACAGAAACGCGCACCGCTGACACAAGAATGTGAGGAGGACAAGGTCAGGGCAGCAGAGAAGTGCTGTCAGTCACTCCAAGACAGTCCTGTTGCAGATGGAGTCAAAAGACTGCAAGGAATATTTCATTATCTTTGTATCTATCGCGACATCGCACGTTGCCATGCATTGTGTGGGTGATGTGATATCGCTATCAACTGCTGACATGAATCTGAGCAGGGCAGAGAGGGAAAATAACCGAGAAATCTCTCCTAGAACCTAGAAATCCGCCCGCTAAGCCTGCGGCAAAGCTGGGGTGTGCGCCGCGGGGCTTTCCGGTTACGCTCTGGGCAAGCAGTCCCGAGGTCCCCAGATGATACACACTTTAAAAGCAGGTTCTTTAGTTTGAATTGCTTTTGTGATGTGCCTGGGGCCGAGCTGATACTCACCCGAATGGAACTTTGTCAACAGGGGCGCGTGTCAGCACGTGCTCCAAGCCCCATGGAGCTGCACTACGACCAACCTTTCTTCCTCAGAACTGCTGAGAACCAAGAGCTGGTACCTGCCTTGGGGACAGCACTGGGGACTGAAACGCTGCTGCTGAGCTGCCTGTACCTGCAAGAGCTGCTGCCAACCCTTCCTGTAGCTAACAGCAGCGGGCGAGTCACGTACTTCCGAGTCTGAAGCTGAAAACCCTGACGGACTGGAAAGGAAACGAGGGGCAAAGGCAGTTCCAGGCACCGGTGACGGTCAGGCCAGGACCTCCTCTCCCGTCTTGGGGTTGGCTCTAAGAAGGACGCAGCTGAAGACCTAAGCCTCGCTGCTGTGCCGTATTTGTAGTACTAAAACTCGTCCCGCTGGAGGGGATTGTCAGCCAGAAGCTTCCGTCTGAGCTGTTTAAAACTAACCAAAAAATGCTTTTGCGACTTACTCGTAACCTGTTCCTCTGTCCTCCAAAGATTATCTGACAGCTTCGTACAGAGCAGCAGTCCACCTGCGGCATGTGAAATGAGTGGAGAAAAACCTGACCCTGAAAAATCCCCTCATTAACTCCTGCAGCTTCATAAGTGAACAGAAAACCTGAAGTGTCCATCACCAGTATTTTAAAATGGATAAGAAAAAGGAAAACCTACAGAATCAGCCTGCGACAAGCAGCCACGCAGCTAGGGCACCCCTGCCAGTATTTCCTGAAAACCAGGCGACTCAAGCTGCTACCTGCAAACAACTGCCAGGAACAGAGACACACGGCCAAACCCAAGCGAATCACGTGAAAGGTCTTGGGTAGAAGTAGCTGCTTTATGCAAAGGCAAGAGGAGAATAAAAAAAGAAAAGCGTCTGGAGGCCATCACAGAAGTCTATGTTTGCTCAAAGTCAACATGATGAGATGAAATGCTCCAGCGCTAGCATGCCTTTCCGTTTATTTTTAATGAAGTGGATAACTGAAGTATTTGCGCCGCCAGGACAGCTTCAGACGGGTAATTAAGTCCCAATTTGGAAAGGTGCTTAAAAATAGCGACCAATCATTTCATCTTCAGCCCTCTTATCTCTGTGAGACAGAGGATGTCCCCTCCTGCGCTACGGTTTAACGTTTTCTTGGAGCTTACTCACTTATTTATAGCAGCAAGGAGGGGGTTGAACCAGAAGCCAGGAAAACCGAGAAGTCTATTTCCAAGCAGTGCTGCTGACTTCAGCCAGATTTACACCTGGCTATTCCCCAGCCCGCGGGCTTACATTCAGGCATTTTTACACAACTTTAGGGGTAGTTCTTTGAGGTCTAGCTACAACAGAAGTACAGGAAAGAGGTGGGGTGCCCTACAGACCCACCTGTACCACCACAGGAAGCACTGCCATGCTTTCCCAACGCAGTGCTCTCCTATGACCACCCGCAAAACCTACAGGCCTTCCCGGGGAACCCTGGGCCTGCCTCGTGGTGTGGTGGGGAGGGAGGTTACGGCTCCCGCTACTCACCTTATGAAGTACATGAGGCCGTTGAGCGTGACGGTCTTTGGGGCGAAGGACCAGGGAGGCAAGTGGCCGCAGTTCACGAGGGACCAGAGGTCGCTGTCGGGGTCGTAGCACTGCATAACCATGGACTCTTTGCCAGCCAGGGAGCCTATGGCGAACAGCTTGCCACGGCACGAGGTGGTGGAGCAGTTGTCCATGGGGTACAGCATGGGCTGCAGAGCCTCCCAGCTGTCCAGCGCGTGGTCGTAGCGCTCCGTGCTGTCGGAGGCGATCACGTAGAGCAGCCCATCCAGGACGGTGGAGCTGTGGTATTCTCTGGCTTTCAGCATGGGAGACACCTCCGTCCACTCGTTCACGCTGGAATTGTACCTCCAGACACAGTCGTACAGCCTCGACCCGTCCGAACCTCCTGCAGCACAGCACGGGACGTTTCAGCGTGTGGTTTCGCAAAGGGAAGTACTACGGGGCGATGGAGGAGAGGCCTTGGCTCGGGACCAGGAGCTTTGCTGTGTTCTCTAGCTACACATTCTTAATACCTCCCCACCACTTTTCTGCTTCCCAGGGCCGTACAGTATGAAAATATTTCAGTACTAGGGGACCACAGCAGTCTGCACTGCGAGGATTTTAACAGAAGCTTTACACCATTTCTTTCCCAGCAAGCCAGGAAGGATTTGTCCCATGTTGTTCCTGGTCTGTACTCAGCCATGACTCAAGACAAGTCTCCCAGGTTTGACTACCTCCAATCCTTCCCAACAACCCTCCTTGCTGCCTGCACTACGACGCTGACACTAAGCAGAACGACTGAAGATCCCTGCCGGCAGCAGCCTCGCCGAAGCACGGGGCTGCTGACAGTTTTGGTGCTCCCAGACCCGCCTGGGATTGCTCCAGAAAGCTCCCACGGGACGTAAGGGTGTCTACACAAACGAGCCGTGTGGTAGCCCATCGTTTTTACAACCCTGCCCTTGAAGCAGAGCCTTGTTTTTGGCTCGTGATGAGAGAAGGAACAGTTTTCTGTTCACCTGCACCTGACCTGCCCTTCAAATCTTTGCCAGCGCGCCCTGCACGCCCGGAGCAAGCTGTTCTGCAGCGCCTGGTCTCCCAGGCCTTGGTTTGTTAGGGCTGCCGCGGGGCTGCTGCTCCAGCTACAGGGATGTAGTTCAAAAGAGGCACCTACATGCAGATTAACAGCCAAATTTACACATCCGTGTCACCTTGACAGAAGTAATTATAGCCCCAGCGGACTGCGAGGAGGCAGGACTCATGCTGGGGAAGGCACCGTGACTCACAGGCACTGGCTAGCCGAGGAACCTGGGGCTTTCTGTCACGCCCCTGCCCCAAGCACGCGCTTGGCTCGTGATTCACGGCGCCCTGATCCCAAACACTTTCTTCGCATTCAGAAATTCAAAACCCTCTCAAGTCACTCCTGTCCCCCAGAGCGAGCGGTTAGAAAGCCCTACCAGTGCAAGGTCTGTGACTCCTGCCTGCGCGCTCAGGAGCATTAGTCATGGCAAAATACTTCCCAGATTGAGACCAGCTGCTAAATCCCGCACAGGCTCCAGGAGTCCCCACGCCTGTTCAGGCTGCAGTCGTACTAAGCCTAGGCAGAACCTCAGACTCTCTGCCAACCTGAGAAAATCCAAGTCACGCTGCTAGAACCCACATATTTTCAATGGAAATCTCAGCGCTGGCGCTTTTGTGCCCCGCGAGCCTTACCGGTGACGTAGATGTCATTGCCCAGTGCGGCGACGCTGTAGCCCCCGCCCAGGTGCTCGGGGAACTCGGCCAGGTAGCGCCAGTGGCCGGTGCGCGGGTTGTAGCAGTCGACGGTGACGAGCTCATCGCAGTCGCGGTCGCAGCCGCCAACGAGGACGAGGATCTAATTCAAGGAAGCAAAACTCAGAAGCAACAATATGCAGGCCCAACAGCATCATTTGTATTTGAAATTTCAAATACAGAAATGGATTTTGCAAAATAACTGGCATTCAGTTTTCTTGTTTCTGTCTCTCTTCTTACCCAGTTTTCATAGTCCTTATGCCTTTATTTTAACGGTTCTAGCTTATGAAAAACAGAAGCCTGTAGCAACTAAAAAACCTGGTGATGTGCAATACAGAGTTTGAATTTGATGTGCCACAAAACTGCAGCAAGTGTAATGGGCACAGCGCTGTAAAGAAGTACCCCCAAAAGCTGAGAGTAAGAGGGCTGGGCCCTCTGTGTTCTTGACCAGCATGAAAGAAATAACTTGAAAAAGTGTGTTTTAATAGTTCATGCTGGAAGTAAAAATGTGACCACTAATCACAGTGCCTAGGTCAGTGGTCACCCATTCGGGCGCCCAGAAATTTGGAAGTGCTGTCCATTAATTTTGTCAGCGTTTTCCTGGCGTCAAGAAGGCCCTCTGTCACAGGGTTTGATAAGATGGATGTTGGCAAAACAGCAGCAAGCTGCTGTGTAAAGAAGAAAACAGTGAAGAAAACTGATCTCAGCAACAACAGATTTTGACAACATGAAGACCTTTTTTGTACCTACGCTGAATTCAGAATCAACACAGGGAAAACTGGTACTGGATTTCAACTGTGTCTTAGAAATGGAGGTGGAAATGTATTTAGTTGAAAGCAAGTACTAGCTGTCCTTGCTATAAAAATACTCAAGGTTTAGACCTAAGTGAGAGGAACTTTGGACTGTTTTGCCTGCCTTCTCCAGAGAGACTTGGACCTGTCAATAAAATAACCTTCTTGGACAGAAACTGATATCCAGCAGCGTATCTTATGATGCAAAAGAAGGAACAAGGCTAGATATGGATGCCATTATTAGGGCACAGCAAAAAAAAAAAAAAAAAAAGAAAAAAAAGAGGAGGAAGAAGGTGGGTTAGCGCAGGAGAAAACGTCCTCTGGCTGGGAAGCGGGATAAACTAAACAGCCCTCGAAAACATCCCCTCTCCCCCGTCACCGAGGAGCGGCAGTTGCATAACGCGCTGGCGCTGCCAGCAGCCTTCCCTGCTTAGTCTAATTATATTTTGAAGAAGCCCGTGTTGAAGCTCCCCAGCATTCGGGCAGCCTCACAAGAGCCAGGCTCTGCAAACCCGATAG